GCTCCCCAGATCAAGCATGAGCTACAACAGGAGTGGCCACCCATTTCATTTGCTCTCTGGCTTGTCCACCACTCACTCCACTGCAGGGTAATCTTCTGGAAACACTGTCTTCCCCAGATCAGAAACCACCAATGACCCCTCCGCCCTCAGCACTGGAAGTAGGGGGCCTCGCTGCCCTGCCCTGCTTCCTCCTCCACCTGCACAAACCCTCCTCTCTAGGCGAACTCGGTGCCCCTCTGTGCCTTTGTCTATGCTACCTGCCTGCCCAGTGCACCACCCGCTCCTCTGCCAGGCTAAGCCATATAGTGCAAGGCTCAGAAGCATGGGCTTTGGAGTCAGTCCTGGGTTTGAATCTGTCTCAACCATTTACTAGCTCTGTGGCCTTGGGCACCTAACCTCTCTGCCCCTCCATTTTCCACCTGTAAAATAAAGTAACTATCTCTCAGGGTGGCCACAGGATTAGTCAAGGTGATGGTTGTAAAAGGGGAATGTTTCCTGTAAAGCCTGGCTACACTAAGTGCTCCATAAACCAGAGTCACTGCTGTTGTTACCCTGGCCCTTCAAGTCCCTGTTCAGGTGCCTACTCCATCATGAAGCCCTCCCTGATCACTGTAGCCTATTCCATCCTGATTTCCCCGCGATTCCAGGATGTGCTGTCCTGCCCTGCCATGAGGGGTTCTGCGAGCTGTGGAATCTTAGGCAAGTCCCGTGTGGTCTCTTGTGCCTCAGGTCCTTCATCTGTAAAATGGACATGAAAATAGTACCCATCTTGTGGGTTGTGTTAGGGTTGAGTGAGGGTTAATATGTGACATGCCTGGCATATAGACATGCGTGTAGTAGACATGTTAGGTAGTAGTAGTTTTACTACGATCCCATGGTACCTCCTCTACCTGTCTGTCCCTTGTGCTGTCGAATGGACCATAAGTGCCCTGGGTCATGGGCAGAGACTCCTACTTTCCTGGGGCCTCTCAGAGCAGCTGGCGCTCAGCAGAGCCTGGTAGGCACCTGAGCCTCTCCCACTGGGCCTTCCCAACTGGCTGCCTACAGCCACTGGCAGGGCCTGGTGGGCACCTGAGCCTCACCCACTGGACTCTGAGACCTTCAAGGCTCCTTTAATGCCAGGATGCCAAAGTCAGGGGGGAAATGGAAGCCCCAGAGGTGCCTCTCACAAAGGCGTGACCTCCAGAGCCTCCTGCCCTGCCCTTGAATACCTTCCCTTTTCTCTCAGTCCCCTGCCCTCTCAGCTTCTCCCCCAGGGACTCAGGAGAACCCCTCTCTGCTGCAGCTAGCAGCCTGTCCTCTCCCGAGCAGCTGCCTCCCCACCCCGACTCAGTGAGGGACCCAGGGCAGAGTGCAGCTACAAGGAGCCAGAGGCGGGATTAGGTGCTGACATGGGCCGGGGGCCAGTGCGGGGTGTTTATTGCCAGTGCCATCGACCCGCACAGCTCGCTGTTTATCTGTCTTCCTGACACACCTAATTACCCAGGTTGCAGCTGCCAGAGCGTTTGCTCTTCCTAAATCACGGGCTCCCGTCCCTCCCGTCGCCCAGGCCTCGGGCCTCTGCCTGCAGAAGGGCTGCCATTGATTTTGCCGTTCCCATTTATGATCTACAAGGCTCCGCATCGCCGCTGCACATTTTACCTTAATTAGTTTATTCTTCTGGGCGTCCTCGGTCAGCCCGGAAGCCAGGAGGCTGGAACGGAGGAAGAGGCTAGCAGCACTGGACGCCCTGCCCCTCTGGCCAGACAGCCACACCGTAGGACAGCAGTTGGCTAAGAACAGCCCTAGTTCCGCAGGATGCTGATAGGTGAGCTGCACAAAGGGGTTCCGTGACCAAGCTCGTTTGGGAAAGGCTGGATTCCATAAAATGATGCAGGTCATTTACGGCAGGACCTTTCAAAGTTATAATAGACTCGTGTTCATTGTGAAATCTCCAAGAGGGGGATGGAAGGTATGGTCTTCGCCGCACTCCGATGTTCACGAGGTCTTTTCTCCAGGCAGCTCACAGAAAACAGGGTTCCACAAAGCACACTTTGGGAAATGTTGTCTTGGGAGTGATGAGGTAAACAGAGGGGGGTAGAGCCACCCTGAGCCCGTTTTCTCCTCTCGTCTCGCTGAGGCAGGAGCTCAGCCACTGAGCAGTTTCTCCCACGGAACGCAGAGGTGCCCATCAGAGGCATGCGGAGCCCCGGCTGCCGGCAGCTGCTCTGTCGCCTGGCCCAGGCTGTGGTCAAACTGAACCTCAGTGTTTCAGGGGGACTGGACTAGCCGGAAGGACAGTCTATAGGGGCCCTGGTTTGACAGAGAAGGGCAAGGGTCACTGACTGTTGGGGGAGGCTGGCGAGCGGGCGGCCTGCAGGGCCATTGGAGGTCCCCCAGGCGCCAGGAAGCGATGACAAGGCTGCCACTGCCTCCGGTACAGCAGCAGCGAGGATGGAAGTCTGAGTCCACAGTCCCTGGCCGCAGTCCTGAAATCCAAAACGCTCTGAAAGCCTCAAGTGCTTTTTTTAAGTTTGCTGGAAAAAGAGTGGATAGCAAAACCTGTCCTGAACTGACGTGAGCTATTTATGGCTTTATTTATCCCACTTCATGTGAATATTCATATATTTCACTGCAAAAATATTAATGTGTTTAATTATGGGGTGCCACCCTGGTCCCTGCTGGGCGTGTTATGTAATAAACGGTGTGTGCACTGTTACATTTCTAAACCAGGAAGGAAAAATCTAAATTTCTAAATGCCTCGGACCCCCAGGGATTACGATGAGGGGCTGTGAACCTGGAGGTGCACGGCTTCTGGGGAGCAATTGGGGCTGCCGGACCTGGGCCAGACTTCAGTGCGATTTCTCCTGTAATTCCCACAGCAGCGCTGTGAGGGAGGGTGCGCAGCTGTCACCCCCGACTCTCACAGAGGAAACCAAGGCTGGGAGAAAAGAAAGGACCGGCCAGGCCCCTGGGCTCCCCAGTCAGAGTTGCACCTGTGCTTCTGTCAGGACTCAGCTCCGCGGTTGCCCCAGGAGCATCCCTCCCCACCCACCGCAGCTCTGCGCAGAGCCCGCTGCAGCTCCCAGCCCAGGCCTCCACCTGAACAAACACCTGCCGGTCTCCCGGGCCTGCTTCCCGCTCTGCTCACGAAGGGCCTTCCCTCCCAGGTATCTGGAGAGCATCCCTGAGACCAACTGCAGACCCCGCAGCCTGTGCACCAGCCTCCATGGGCTCCTGAGGTGTGAGGCCACTCAGAGAGCAAACCCTTTTGTCCTCTCCCGGGCAGAGCCACTGGAAGGTCCTTTATACACCGCCCTCACCCACACACACTCACACTCACTTTCACACACCCACTCATTGGCACACTCACACTCCCTTCACATGCACTCACTCTTACTCTCTCACTCCTCAACTTCACACGTTCACTCTCCCACTCTCCCTTGCTTACTCTCACATACTCATTCTCATTCATTCGTTCCCACTCTGACTCTCACAAACCCCTGCAGTGCAGACCTTATGTCCCTAAAGCACCTTAAGAACACCTCATCTATGAAATTGGAATCATTATTTCTGGCTAATACATACCACTTTGGGGGGGGGGGGTGGCGCTGGGCCAAACCTTTAATGCGCATCATCACATTTATTCCTCATGGTAAACTTGAATGCAGTTTGTTTGTTTTAAATACATTTTTTATTGATTTCAGAGAGGGCGAGGGAGAGAGAGAGAAACATCAATGATGAGAGAGATCATTGATTGGCTGCCTCCTGCACACATGTGCCCTTGACCGGAATCAAACCTGGGACACATCAATCCACAGGCTGACGCTCTATCCACTGAGCCAAACCAGTGAGGGCTTGAATGCAGTTTTTGTTGTCCCCACTTACAAATAAGAAAACTGAGGCTCAGAGACGCTAAGCACCTTCCTCGAAGTCAACAACTAAAACCTAGAAGTACAATCTGGATGGAACTGAGACTGAGCTTCGGCTGGTTCATTCAGACCCTGAGGTCTTAACCACTGCACCACACTTCTCCCTTTACGCTAAGCCCATTGCCTCTCCCCCAGGCCAGCCAGAGAGTCAAGTCCCCAAGCCCACTCTTCCCCAAGCTCACCTTCCCGATTCCTTTAGCTGCTCCTCTCCTGTGTTTCCAGTGCAAGTCCTTAATGGTAGAATATGATCCCTCCTAAAACGTGAATGCTCCTGGTCTCACATTTGCAAGAAATGAACGTAGGGTGAGGGCAGAGGGGAGAGCTCTGCTTTCATGGTCTCAGAAGGACTTGAGCTCCCACCACCGGAAGTTCCTCACCATGTCCCCAGGAGGAGCTGCAGGAGGCCACGGACCTCCTGGAGTTACATATGGCATATTGTGTGGTGCAGACTCCCTGAGCTCAGGGGCCTTAGCCTCCCTCCAGCTCTCGAGAGGATCAATATCCTCTAGGACTCCCCAGTCCTGGGAGCAGGGGCCTCCCAGGGCTGCCCGAGTGCTAACCCTACTGCCACCTGGTTCCTTGAGGGTGGAGGTGACAGACCTGTCAGAGATAAACTTCCAGTCCCTTCCTCAATCAGAACTTGGAGACACACCGGTTTCTTCTGAGACCCCAATCAGGTCCTGCAATCCAGCAGAGAATGTAGGTAGGGGACAGCTTCTGGAGAAAGAGCCATTCTGGGTTGAGTTTGGGTCCTGAAATAGTGGCAATCCCGGGGCTCCCTGAGGATGATGTAGGAGCACGTGCAGAAGGTGACATCCCAATCTCGAGGCTCATCTCAGACACATAGTAGCAGTAACGTCACTTCCATAGTTTCTGAGGCTGGGCTGGCCATTGTTATAGGCCTCAGAGTCTGCTCTCAACTGAAAACACCTGAGTGCCTCCAAACACAGGAGTCTTCCCTGCCTGAGTGAGTACTGCGAGAGTGTTCACCTTGAGCAGATGACCCATCCCCCAGAGGCCCCAACCCCCGTGGCAGGTACTCCGAGACATATCTGGGCCCTGGTCCACCAGCCTCCCTTCTCTCTCCAGGGGTGGCCACGTACACAGACAAGTTATTCAAGTTCCGCAATAGCAGGTGGGAAGACATCCTGAGCGACGAGGTCAATGTGGCCCGCGGCGTGGCCAGCCTCTTTGCCGGGCGCTCTGTGGCCTGCGTGGACAGGACGGTGAGTTCAGGGGTGCATGGAGGACCTGGGCGGGGGGCAGGGGGACACAGCAATGGGAGAGCTGGAAGGGAGCCAATAGGCAGATGTCCCCAGACAGAGTGTGGCTCTCAAAAGCAGAACCAAAGGCTGGGCCATCTCAGCACTCTCAGTGTCTTGCACATAGTAGGTGCTATTGAGTAACAACCAAGACTTGCAGGATGAGTCACAATATACTTTCACAGCCTTTCTCCCATGAGGCCCTCCCAGCAACCAGTGAGGCAACTGGCTAGGTGCTGTCATCCACTGGACAGTGTCACCGAGGCCCATCTTAGGGCAGTGACTGGCCTGAGGACCCCAAATGGATTGGTGGTGTGGCCAGGACCTGAATTGCAATCTTCTAGCTGTAAACCTTGTGCACTTATTCATTCATTCAACTAACATTTGTTAAGTGCCTACTATGTGCCAAGCATTGAGCCATAGGGCCCCCAGTAAATACTGATCCAATAAATGAAAGCATGACAAAGGGGCTCACAGGTGGGTGAGTGGGAGTCTGCCACAGTGCACAAGTACCTCCGTTAATCAATATCTCTATCAATACTTTTCTGCCCTGCTGGTCCACCCTACAAGAAGGATGGGAAGAAAGGCCAAGTGGGGAGCAGGAGGAGCAGCTGCAGCCATCTGCCCTGGGGGACCTCC